CTGCAGGTGCATGATGCGACGATTGAATCCTCATGGTCTTGTTGATGCTGCTATTCGCGCATATAAAGCTAAAGCCCTGTACAAAACAACACCAAAAAAAGACATTCTAATCTTACTGATTAACGATCGACTAATGAGCTTCGTTTGACGTTCAGGAATATAAAAATGAACAAAATGCTGTCAATCTACAATTCTCCACCGTATTTACTATGCTGTGCGCAACTTCAGGTAACTCAAAAACTTGCGTACACGAGCTGAGACCAGACGTGAGATTTGATCGTAGCCACCGCTCACGTCCATATTGATAAATTCCAAGTTTTGCGTTGAAACGACCGTACGCTCAATTTTCTGTCGTACGTTCGTTTCGTAAATGAGGCCCATTATGTATTGTCAATGGGAAATCCTGGTTAGGGATGGGAGCCGTGGACACCTGCTTCCTTACCCCTTATTGCACTGAATTTCTGAACATGCAAAATAAATAAAAAATTCATAAAAGCTGACAAAAGTCTTCTCTACACCTTCATACACACACACATATATTTTTTTATGTACAGTTCATGTTATTTTAAATAAGATTACTAAAGCAAATAATCTTGCCGCCTTCTCACACCGTGTGACCATGTGTCAGATAACGAAGTCCTGTCTTCAAATGGTGCTTGATAGAGTCACCCACACCTTATTGGACTGTTCTTTGATACTTTTCAAACATTTTAATTGGTTGCAGTTATTTAAAAAACCATGTACTGAACATGGGGCATAAGAAAAACCACAATGCTATGCTGTAGAGGGTTAAGTTCAGCTTGTAGCACGTCTTCATAATCTCTGCATGGATAAGATCAATTCCTGATTTCAATTCCTGAATGTGCTGTTTCACTGGGAAACCTGTCACATCACAGAAGTAAAATCAGCCGCAAATGCTTTTTCATGAGCCCTTTGTTTCCTGAGATGAGCTTCAGAATTAAGTTTTATATGGTTTCCACAGACCCGTCTCCTGTTCAGCTCATCGTTCAGTTTCTGGAGCAAGCCTCCAAACCGTCTGTGAATGAGCAGAACCAGGTTCAGCCGCCAGCGGACAACCGGAGGAACCGCACACTGAAGCTGATGGCTCTCAAAGCTGCTGCACACCTGACATGGGATTTGAAAGTACTAGAGAAGGGGTGAGTGAAGATAAAGTTTTCCCTTGTTTTCCCTTTGAGGGCAATATACTGATTTCCTGTATTACCTGAAATAAATCTTTTAATTTAATTTTTATTATTAGCAACCACCCAGAATTCCACTTTAACGAGCCACTCAGCAATGTGCTTAAAACACAAATTTAGAACAGCCTCAAAGCAATGCCTGACCATTGTGGCCATCATTTTTGCACAGGCAAACTCCACTTACATTCTCTTAAGAAAATGTAAAAACTGGGTTGGACAATTGGACATCTTAGTCCATCTTTAGACAACATGCAATCCCTCGATCGTCCACATTTGATCATTTCACTTCTCGTTTAAACTGTCCTCTTTGTCTTTCTGTTTGATTCACAGTTTGACCATCCCTGTGCTTAATATGTTACTGAATGAGCTTCTGTGTGTCAGTCGTGTTCCTCCTGGAGTTAAGCATGTAGATCTGGATTTGTCCACCTTGCCGCCCACCACAGCCATGGCCGTGCTCGTCTACAACAGATGGTCAGTGTGACAGTTTAACTGTGTGTCATAGCTAATGCAGGCTCAGGTAAAACTTTGTAAGATCTGGGGCTGCGACTCATTTCGAAGGTCCTCTGGAAGAGATTGCACACATCATTGAGGCTGCCTCGTTTCAGAAAATTTACCATTTCGTTCCAAAGTTAGAAAGAAATGACAGTATATTATGCCTCATGAGGAATTACAGTCAGTTTTGCAATGATTTCTTCTCTGAAATGAGACCTGCTCTGTGGTGTATGCAGGTTGCAAATGCAACCTGGAGGGCACAGCCTTGGAAATGAGAGCCTTTTGAACTAATTGGTTGAATTAATTACTCACTCATGAAAGCAGGGGTGTCCAAACTCGGTCCTGGAGGGCCTGTGTCCTGCAGAGTTTAGCTCCAAACCTAATCAAACACACCTGAACCAGCTAATCAAGCTCTTACTAGGCATACTAGAAACATCCAGTCAGGTGTGTTGAAACAAGATGTAACTAAACTCAAGGACCGAGTTTGGACACCCCTGCAATAAAACAATGACTTGCTGCCATCTACTGGTGGTTTTAGTTTTATATTGAGAGTATCATTTATTTTTTAAATTTTTTAATCATTTCATATTTCAATATTAATTTCAAAATAAAAAACAATGAATAGTAATGACTTTAACTGATTTTTGGGTTATTTTTTATTTATTGTTTTGTTTATTTCTCAGCCAAAATTGTTGTGTGATTAATTTGCAATTAATTAAATGGCACATCATATTGTACCTTGGGGCTGTTGAATGCTTGATTCTGAATCTGGTTGACAAACCAAAACCACCAAAGATATTGACCAAGCAAACAAACATGAATAATAGGATAAATACTTAATGCATATGTAATTCTCTCTCTCTCTGTGACCCTGGACCACAAGACCAGTCATAAGGGTACATGTTTTGAAATTGAGATTTATACATCACCTGAAAGCTGAATAAATAAGCTTTCCATTGATGAATGGTTTGTTAGGATAGGACAATATTTGGTCGAGATACAACTATTTGAAAATCTGGAATCTGAGGGTGCAAAAAAATCCAAATACTGAGAAATCATCTTTAAAGTTGTCCAAATGAAGTTCTTAGCAATGCATATTACGAATCAAAAATTAAGTTTTGATATATTTGCAGTAGGAAATTTACAAAATATCTTCATGGAACATGATCTTTGTTTAATATCCTAATGATTTTTGGCATAAAAAAAAATTGATAATTTAGACCCATACAATGTTTTTTAGGCTATTGCTACAAATATACCCCAGCGAATTAAGACTGGTTTTAACCAGGGTCACATAAATATACATACATACATATATATATATATATATATATATATACAGTGGAGAAAAAAAGTATTTAGTCAGCCACCAATTGTGCAAGTTCTCCCACTTAAAAAGATGAGAGAGGCCTGTAATTTTCATCATAGGTATACCTCAACTATGAGAGACAAAATCTGCTCTAGCTTTGGGTTGTAAAAGGAGATTTTCACACAATATTGGATTACTAATTCAAAAGAAGTGCGTAGTGCAACAGAATAACAGCAGAAGAAGCAGTGAGGCGTAATACAAGCCACAACTTCTTTCCTTCATGTTGATTTCAAGTATGAAGGATTGATGTGTTTTATTGTTTAACTTTCATCAATGTCTGATGTCACGCTTTAAAATGCCATTTTCATTCTCAAGGAAAGCTCATCGTAGCCCTGTCACTTGTTTAACGCTGTACTCCTCAGCTCAGAGTTTTCTACTAACATTGGAAATATAATTGTCAAAGCACAGATTTCTATCAGACATAAGGTTCCTAACCGTAGAAGTCTGTGTAACAGTCAAAAACATTGTTTTATTGTGTTATGTTCAGAGGTTTTCAGGCTAACTAATACCTAACTAATACATTCCTCTGTTTTGTCAGAATTCAGACGTAGGAAATTACTAGCTATCCAGTCTTTGATATTACTAATACATCTGCTAACTTAGACAATTGAGATATTTCTTTAGGGCTGGAGGAGCTGAGTATCTTCTGTGTAACAGTGGAAACTAACGCCATGGTCCCTGACAACCTCTCCCAAGTAAAACATATACAAAGAATAGTAGAGGACCTAATACTGAACCCTGTGGTACTCCATCCTACATCCCACAATTAACACAAACAAACTGGTAGCAATTGGATAGGTAGGTGTGCAGCTGTGGTCAGATGATACAAGCAAGTCATTTGTAACTCTGAAAAATGCAGTCTCTGTGTTATGATGGGATCTAAATCCTGACTGAAACTCTCTACAGTTACTGGTTCTGCAGAAATGAACAGTTGGTTGGGGCAAGATTGCTCTATAATTTAACCGTTCTCATGAGACAAGTTGGAGCTTTTTGATAAGGGTTTGATAACTGCCAGCTTGAAAGTTATTTGGATATGTCATCAAACGGTTATCCAGTTTTTTGTTTTTGGAGTATGTTAAACCCATTAGCATAGAGCATATTTTATACGCCACCCTGGCACTCTCTATCATAGCATACTGTTTAAGAAATATTTCTGGTTGGTTCAAGTCAAGTCAAGTCACCTTTATTTGTATAGTGCTTTATACAATGCTGATTGTGTCAAAGCAGCTTTACAGAGTCAAACAGGAAAATAGTTTGTCAATAATGTAAGAAGACAATAACAGTCATTTTCCAGCTAAAGTCAGTTCATCGATGATACAGTGATGTCATCATCCAGTTCAGCTCTCTTCCAATAGTGTCTGTGCAATCAGTCAAGCGTCCCCAACTAAGCAAGCCAAAGGTGACAGTGGCAAGGAACCAAAACTCCATCGGTGACAGAAATGGAGAAAAAACCTGGGGAGAAACCAGGCTCAGTCAGGGGGGCCAGTTCTCCTCTGAACAGACGAAACCAGCATGGTGTGGTTTAATTCCAGGCTGCAACACAGGTCAGATTGTGCAGAGGACTCGTCTGGTTCCCGTGGTCTTGTGCTGATGGTTGTCGACGTGATGAGGTCTTCGCAGGGGATCTGTCTCTGGGGTGCATCTAGTTGACGTGGTCTCCGCTGACATTCAGGGCTGTAGAGGTCATCTCTAGGTGCTGATCCACCATCTGGTCTGGATATTGTCTGGATCCGTATGGTTACGGGTAACATCGGATTAAGAATGAAGAAGACTAATATTAGAGTAGATGCCATTCTTCTTACGATGTAGCGAGTACATCAGGTGTTATGAGAAGTGTTCCCGGTTCCGGTTGACTTAATTAATGCAGCCTAACAATCCTTTAAAGGATTTGAATTATAGAAATGCGATGGTGTATTATGTGTATGCCAGGTTAAAGAGATGGGTCTTTAATCTAGATTTAAACTGACAGAGTGATAGAAAGATTGCTATCAAATAGCACACATAGGTTCCTAACTGATGACGAGGAATTAACAGAGCAGCCATCAAGTGTTAGACAGTGTTCTAGGTTATTACATGCAGAGGTTTTAGGTCCAATAATTACAACCTCAGTGAAAAGGGGTCAGTGAAATAGGAAACTGAGAGCTGTTGATAGGTCACTCCAGGGAGAGAAAGATTTATGTTGTCTGCGTGTACACACTTGTGTGAGTGATCTAGTAGCCGAGGCAGTGTGAGAGAATAAATTCTCTTCTTCTGAGTCTTCTCTTAGATATGTCATAACAGACGTCACAGTTACGTCACTTGCAGCTGCGCGCGCATTGTGCTGGCAGAAAACACTGGGAACAAGTGGACGGAAACGGGTAAAATCCATGGAATAAGACAAAAAATGTGTTTTTGTGACTTTGCATGTCAGAATCAGAATGCAAATCATTTTTATAGAATACAGTCATCAAAGACACCATTTGAAGCTAAACGCAGACGTTTAAACGGACAGACTATGGATGAAACCTGCTATAATTACCCTACTTTTAAAGCATAAATTTGATTTAAACAATATTCATATATGCAGTTCATAAGGGACATATTGTATTAGCCCTACAGTTACAGCAAGAAATACTATTTAAACCTATAATGTTTTACATAACATTGACCTATTTTATCTCACAATTCTGACTTTTATATCTCCTAGTTCAGACTTTATTACTCAATTTAACTCAACAATTGCTAGTTTGCCCATTCTGAGGGAATAAAAGCCAGAGTGTGGGATATAAACTCATGATTCTGAGCCGAGGGGAGGAAAAAAAAAGAAAAAAGAATGACGAGCTGATTTATTTTTTTTCAGAATTGTGAGGTATAATCACGGAATTGCGAGAACTGAAAAGTCAGAATTTTGAAATATAAACTCAAAATTACCTATTTTATTCTTTTATTCCATAGACTGCTACATTTTCTGCCACCAGATAGACAAAAAGCTTCACTGTTTGCAAACACCGGAATTGGTCTACTGGTTTTTTAGGAGCCAAGCGCCGAAGGTTTTCTTATCATTCTTCCTCCTCCTGCTCTTGAGTTTATGGCAGCTCATAGAACCGCTTGCGGGAAAGTTGTGAAATTTGGCACACTGATAGAGGACAGTCTCATCATTAACCACAGCCAGTTTGAAACTCTCTAGCGCCACCACTTGTCCAAAGTTTCACTCGTGTTTATGCTAATAACTTATGAACCGTGAGGTCTAGAAGGAAAATTATTTTCCAAAATTTTAAATTCTACAGGTCAAGATTTTTCACAATTTTTAACAGTTCAAAAAACATACTTTTAAGAACTCGTCTTAGACGGTTCATCCACGCAAACTAATTCCGACGACAAGCTTGCCAAATCAGACATGAGGCTTTGCCGTATTCAGACCAAACTTGGTGTGTTATGATAACCATGCCCTGAGGCTACATGCTGCAGCGCCACCTAGTGGTTAGGAGATAAGAAAAATGCCTATTTTTGCTTATAATTTCTGAATGCTTTGACCAAAAATCACAAGTCAATTTAGATTATATTAGATTATAGAGCAACATACTGAGTGGAATGATACCCAATTTTCCCATGTCGGCCATTTTTAATTTTGTCATAAAATGCTATATTTTATTTTATTTTAAAAATTGCTATATTTACGCGTTGGCGTACCATTACGAAACTCGGTACGTGTCTTCGGGACCATGGCCTGACAGTACTCAAAGTTTCAGGGCAGTGAAATTAATTGAAATTTCAAAAAAATGCTAATAGCTTTTGAAGATTTTTGTCTATTGTCATGAGACTGGTCTTGATAGATTCCGTGGATCATACCAAGAACACGGATACCATTTTTGCCATATTGAAAAACAAGACAAAAATACAGAGGAAGATACAAATTTTTGCAATGCATGCAACATTTAATGCAGTCAATCTAAGACTCTTTTTAAGGCTTACTTTGAGAAAGGGTGAATTAAGACTTTTTAAGACTGTATGTTCACACCGCTGTCATAATAACAGGCTTTTACGGCAGAGAGTTTAAACAGAATTATATTAGAAATATAATTGCATCATTAGCAATGTGTTTCTGGGTCACATGTCTTTTTCTTTTATCGTGAGTAATGCTCAGTATTTTGACAGAAACATTCAGAGCCTTTTAACTCTTTCAAGGAGTTCAGTTTATACAGTGTTGAATATTATACATGAAAATAAACTGGATTTAAGAGTTTGTCGTTGATTTCAATCTTTAATATTAAAGTAACGTGTGACTTGACCGGGCTTCCAGCTCAGTTTACAGCATTATCTGAGAGAGACTTAAGACATGCAATACGTTCAATATCAAATATCCAGTCAAATGCTCATGTTGATGTGAAATCAGAGAGCGTGGGTTGTTTTACATGTGCATAAGAAATCCTAAATGTGATTTTAAAAACGTGCAAAACAAAATTGCATGCAGTTCCTCAAACGCAGCTCTAGTTTTGAGTGCATGCACTCCCAGATATGAACACACAAATCTCTCATGAAGAAGAACTGATTTTACCTGATAGATGCGTTTATATTCGTCCACCGTGATCTCACGAAACTGTCTCCAGAGCGCCAGGGCCTGATCTTCACTCCGCTCCAGACGTCTGAAGAACTCTGCAGCGGCCGAACGCACGCTCTCATCACGCTCGGCCTCGCGGTTCACCTGAACATACACCTGCAGCCCACAGCGGCAAAACAAACAGATCTGAGTGCATGCTAGTCCCAATGCAACTACATCCGGCCTGGGCCAGTGCCAACGAAACACAAGAGCGGACCTCAAACAGGTGCTCCAGCGGCTGCGTCCTCAGCTTCTCCTGAGAGCCGAAGCGTTCAAAGCCTGCGCCCAGCAGTCCTGCAAACACCAGCCAGCTTCAGCAACCTTCATCAAACACACCTTTTTCAGGAGTATATGCAAGTCATATGCAACTTACTGACTTCTCTAGGTTAATAATGGCAACGGATAACTTACCAAACTGCATTCCCCAGTCGCCCAAATAATTGACTCGAATAACCTCTTTCCCCAAAGCCTTCTTTAGGTTGGCAATGAAGTTTCCTACAAAAGAAACAGAGCTAACTATTCAAGCCGAGAATATGTTTTGCGAACAACTGTTTTATTAAAATCATCCGTTCAATACAAACACAGCAAATGATTAACCTAAGAATGTCCTGTTCATATGGGATGATATTAGACTCAAAATGATTAATAGATGCACGCACAATTATCCATGCACTGCATAAATGTTATGCATGTATCTTACTAACCACAAAAAAAAAAAACTTTCAGTTTGAGTCTGTGGAATTCAGGATTAAATGATTGTGCAGCGATTTGTACAAATACTTGAGTCTAATATCATCCCATATGTTCACAAGCACTCTCTCTACTGGTGACAGAGGGAACTAGTTTAACAGGAATGCATTGCATCTTACCAATTATAGTGGAGCGCAGATGACCGGCGTGAAACTTCTTAGCGATGTTTGGAGAACTATAAGCAAAGAGAGTTCAAACATCAGAACATGCTGTACTCTAACGGGTCCACTATTCACAGTTTTTACATGACAAATCAAGGCTTTCCTTCACTGCACCACAGCTATTTATACCGGGATTACACTACCGACGGAGGTATCAAAACATCAAATTCATATACATTATAAACAAATATTTACAGTTGCAATCAAAATTATTCAACCAGTTCAACCAAGACCATTCAAAAAAGGCATCAGTATTTATTAACACATTTGAGTGATTCTGAGAACGTAGAGTTGGTGAAAAAATTTAATTAAATAAAAAGAATCAATTCAGACTTTGATCCCGAGTTATGAAGCGTGTGCACATGAAAGTGTGACATCAGCAACGAACAGCCAATCACATGCCTTGAAACTCTGATTCACTTCTCATGAGAGAGTCGGTGCGATTCACTACCAAAGATTAAAAGACTGAACAATATGAAGAATTTAAACACATTTACACAGCAAGATTATACGAGCTATCCATGAAAGACGGCAACTAAACCAAAACATCTTGCCATATCAGTGCAAGTGAAACTTATGATGTTAGTTTATATAGTTGATCACATATACATATATATATATATAACTCTGGAGCACAAAACCAGTCATAAGGGTCAGTTTTTTAAAAATTTAGACTATTTGAAAATCTGGAATCTGAGGGTGCAAAAAAATCTAAATATAGAGAAAATCATCTTTAAAGTTGTTCAAATGAAGTTCTTAGCAATGCATATTACTAATCAAACATTAAGCTCTTCTAAATCTTGGATGGCCTGAGGGTGAGGATATTTCCAGGAAATGGTCATTTTTGGGTTCATTCTTTCTTTAAAAGTGAACTATAATTGATATCTGGCAGGTGCATTACGATTTAGGAGGCATTTACTTTCAGCAAGGCTGTTCTGACCCTTCAGTGTATGAGAAAGCCAGAGAACACTTCAGAATGGCACGAGAACTGCTCACAAAGGTGAGACATTATCAAATTAAAGGAAAACTATGCCCAAAAAAGTACATGCTGTCATTATTTACTCACCTTCATGACACAACTGAAATGCTGTCTTGACCAATCAAGCATCCAGGACTGTAGTAATCTGTTGAGATAATCCACGTGCATTTCTGAATCATGACATGCTCTTTTGTTGTTGTGTCTGATGGCAGCTGGATTCCTCTGCATCTTTCTGTTGTGTGGATGAGCAGCGGTTGGCTGGATACTGGAGCGCCTGTAAAACTCTGACCGGAGCCTCAGACCCCAGCGAGAGCCAGCACACCCCATACGGCCAGATCAGCTGCTTCATGAGGAACCACGATTATGGGGTCAGCAAGGACTCTCTCACTGCACTGTGCTACCATTAAAATATTGTATACTCTTTAGATTTGAGACTTTAGTCTTTGCAACTTTACAGATCTTCTTTATGCACCAAGAGCTTGTAACACTCCAAAGAGAAAGGAAAAATTGAAATCGTATCATATGACACCTTTAAGTATTTTTCATTGTAAAGTGCTTTTCAAAATACGTACTGTTTTAAAGCAGCTTTACACACACTGATTGTAGAGATGCCCCTTGCATCAAAGAGCAACATCATGAGGTATGAATTATGAATTAATTAAAAGTCTAACCAAAGTCTACTGGATTTTTTATTAGTCCATCAAACATATATTTAAATCATGAATGTATAAATTAGTTTTTTAGTATCAGAAACAAACAATCTTAGTGTAGCAACAAGTCTTTTCTACTAACATTGGAAATATAATTGTCAAAGCACAGATTTCTATCAGACATAAGGTTCCTAACCGTAGAAGTCTGTGTAACAGTCAAAAACATTGTTTTATTGTGTTATGTTCAGAGGTTTTCAGGCTAACTAATACCTAACTAATACATTCCTCTGTTTTGTCAGAATTCAGACGTAGGAAATTACTAGCTATCCAGTCTTTGATATTACTAATACATCTGCTAACTTAGACAATTGAGATATTTCTTTAGGGCTGGAGGAGCTGAGTATCTTCTGTGTAACAGTGGAAACTAACGCCATGGTCCCTGACAACCTCTCCCAAGTAAAACATATACAAAGAATAGTAGAGGACCTAATACTGAACCCTGTGGTACTCCATCCTACATCCCACAATTAACACAAACAAACTGGTAGCAATTGGATAGGTAGGTGTGCAGCTGTGGTCAGATGATACAAGCAAGTCATTTGTAACTCTGAAAAATGCAGTCTCTGTGTTATGATGGGATCTAAATCCTGACTGAAACTCTCTACAGTTACTGGTTCTGCAGAAATGAACAGTTGGTTGGGGCAAGATTGCTCTATAATTTAACCGTTCTCATGAGACAAGTTGGAGCTTTTTGATAAGGGTTTGATAACTGCCAGCTTGAAAGTTATTTGGATATGTCATCAAACGGTTATCCAGTTTTTTGTTTTTGGAGTATGTTAAACCCATTAGCATAGAGCATATTTTATACGCCACCCTGGCACTCTCTATCATAGCATACTGTTTAAGAAATATTTCTGGTTGGTTCAAGTCAAGTCAAGTCACCTTTATTTGTATAGTGCTTTATACAATGCTGATTGTGTCAAAGCAGCTTTACAGAGTCAAACAGGAAAATAGTTTGTCAATAATGTAAGAAGACAATAACAGTCATTTTCCAGCTAAAGTCAGTTCATCGATGATACAGTGATGTCATCATCCAGTTCAGCTCTCTTCCAATAGTGTCTGTGCAATCAGTCAAGCGTCCCCAACTAAGCAAGCCAAAGGTGACAGTGGCAAGGAACCAAAACTCCATCGGTGACAGAAATGGAGAAAAAACCTGGGGAGAAACCAGGCTCAGTCAGGGGGGCCAGTTCTCCTCTGAACAGACGAAACCAGCATGGTGTGGTTTAATTCCAGGCTGCAACACAGGTCAGATTGTGCAGAGGACTCGTCTGGTTCCCGTGGTCTTGTGCTGATGGTTGTCGACGTGATGAGGTCTTCGCAGGGGATCTGTCTCTGGGGTGCATCTAGTTGACGTGGTCTCCGCTGACATTCAGGGCTGTAGAGGTCATCTCTAGGTGCTGATCCACCATCTGGTCTGGATATTGTCTGGATCCGTATGGTTACGGGTAACATCGGATTAAGAATGAAGAAGACTAATATTAGAGTAGATGCCATTCTTCTTACGATGTAGCGGGTACATCAGGTGTTATGAGAAGTGTTCCCGGTTCCGGTTGACTTAATTAATGCAGCCTAACAATCCTTTAAAGGATTTGAATTATAGAAATGCGATGGTGTATTATGTGTATGCCAGGTTAAAGAGATGGGTCTTTAATCTAGATTTAAACTGACAGAGTGTGTCTGCCTCACGAACAACACTAGGTAAATTGTTCCAGAGTTTGGGCGCTAAATAGGAAAATTATCTAGCACTTGCAGTTGATTTTTGATATTCTAGGTATTATCAAATTACCAGAGTTTTGAAATCGCAGCAGACGTGGAGGACTATAATGCAATATGAGCTCGCTCAAGTACTGAGGAGCTAAACCATTCAGGGCTTTATGAGTAATTAACAAGATTTTAAAATCTATACGATGTTCAATAAGGAGCCAGTGCAGAGTTGACAGAACCGGGCTAATATGGTCGTACTTCCTGGTTCTAGCTGCTGCATTTTGGACAAGCTGGAGTTTGTTTATTAAGCGCACAGAGCATCCACCCAATAAAGCGTTACAATAATCTAACCTTAAGGTCATGAACACATGAATTAACGTTTCTGCATTTGGTGAGTGGTAAAGTCACTGTAGAGACATAAATCTACATAATTGATTTTTGGTTCATCCTATAACAGTTGTAGACCTCAGTTATGCGTTCACTGGAGCTTGTCAGGCCTATGCAGTTGGTGAAATGTGAATTTGTATAACAGTAACCTTTACTGTCTGTTTTTTGTCTTTATGCTGAAGGCATTGATCGAGGCCTTCATCAGAGACAATGTTACATTCATTCTACCCAACAGCTTCAGACATTCAATTCAGCTGGAGCTGTTGCACAAGCTTCAACAAGGGTGAGATGCTGTTTAGATGCTTAATGGACAATTATATGTGTATTCAGGGTTCAAAATGACTCTCTGTACAGCATCTTATACATGCTGTCTTTTACCACAGAAATGTTCAGAGACTCGTTCCTCAGTATAGAATGTGTTTTCCACGGAAGCCCAAAGAGGCGATGGATTATTATTATTTTTCTTTATTTTTTTGCGTGATCACTACATTAGTTGTTTTCTTGTGATCACAGCTTAATTTTCTTGTGACCTCAATGGGCTTGCTTTTTAGCAAGCAAAGGGCAACCATGCAAATCACAGCATTTGACGGTACAATATAAAAAACCTGTGTACTCTTGCGCCCATCCCTTTTTAAGCCAGAACTTAAATACGGAAGATGCAGTTTCTTCTTTAATGGTTCTAACACTGATGAATAGAATAAGTATATACAAACTCGTTTTCCTTATACAAAATTCTTACAGAATTAATGGAATCAAAGTTGTATATTTTTCTTATAAACTTCCTCATAGAATTCCATTAGAAGTGGCTTACTATAATAATTTTTTTCTTTCACAAATAGAGAGGTCAGCCAACATGTGGTTAGTGGCATGCCACACATGCTGTCCATAGATCTCGTTGTATATTCCTTTAATATATGTGTGTCTGTGTGTTTTAAATGACAGGGACAGGGCTCTGGAGGAAGTGTGTCATAAACTGTGTGTGTGTAACGCAGTGAGAGATGCACTGGAGGGTGGTGTCCTCAGTGTGTCCTTCCATCAGCTGCTCCTCAAACCCAGCAAAAACACCATCAGTTTTCTGCTGGAGGTATAAACCCTGCTGCATCACTGAATCATACACATTACACACTATTCTTTTAATAAATGGATCTAAGCTCACATGGTCTTCTGTTGAAATAAAGGGCTGTTTTACTGCTCTCTTTCACATGACTCCAGGTGTGTGCAAGGTCAATGGATAAGGAGCACAGGTCGGAAACATGCAAGAGGAAAATGGCTCTTTTTATCAAGTGAGCACCCTTGCAGTTTTAAGAACTATTTTCACCTTGCCAGACTTTTGACTAATCAGGTTCATACAGTATGTCATTTTCTATTTTTATTTTTTATTTTTTTGCTTTTACGTGCTTTTCAAAGGTGTATTTGTTTGAAGTGAATTCTACCATAATAATATACCGACATGGGTGTGGGGAAATGCTGCAGCAGTTTGCATTAAAAGGAACTCTTAAAAAAAAAAAAAATCGAAATCGTCATCGGATTTTAGATGATGTATAATCTAGGTATAACCTAACTGTTTACCATTTTAAACGTCGTCTTGTATTTGCTATTGTATTTTATTTTAAATTGTATCATTGTGTGAAAATACTACAAATATTCTATGACATATAGCTGTTAATTTGCTTGTTTTCATAGTAGGACCGTTTGTAACAGGCTGGAAGATGTTTCTCTGGCCTTCATGGTGTCTTCTCACAAACTATTCATGGAACTCCTTCAAGATGAGGAGAAGAAGATCCTGATGGAGCAGACGAGGAAGAGCTCAGCCACAGTCAACCTCAGTGCCAAACCTCTGCCCTCATTCTACGATATACCTGGTACATCTGATGGGCAGACGTTTAATCATGACCATATGAAATTCTTAATTTTATCATCTGAAGAGCTGTGCTTGCTGTTGTTTGTGTTTTGTTCTCACCAGCGTCTACCAGTGTGAATATCAGTCAGCTTGAACAGCAGCTTATTCTGTCACTGGATCCTCGACACATCCGACAAATCCTCATTGAGCTGCAGGGGATGGCCGAGCGACCCTTCTGGAGGGTTAACAGTAAGGTCAGGAAAGACCACATGATGTTTTTAAGGCTACTCTTATGCCTCATTTCAGAACATAAAAGGTAGATAATCTAGTCTTCTGTCTTTAATTAGTGCTGATCGAGTAACAAACTGGATCAGTGTTTCTTATACACTATTTTGTTTTGCATCAAATTGAATAAGAGCTTGTGAATTTATTTTAGCGATTTGCAATATCAATTCATGACAAAAAATGCTTGTCACGAAACAGTTAAAATTGATAAAATAATAAATTATAGTTGTTGACATTGACTTCTTTTTTCATTCTTGCAAACTGTATTTCTTTCTTGTAGTGGGAGGTTCCTGTTGACTATGTGAACGTCATACTAGCAATAAAAGACAACTTGACACGAGACCTAGTGTACATCCTTATGGCCAAGGGTCTGCACTGTATCAGTATAAAGGTGTCTATCTGAACAAGACTCACTTCCACAGCATTCAGTATGTTTACATGCACACCAGAAAGACAGCTGTTTAAGACACAGAAGCAATATTCATGTTGATATGCACTATTGTAGTAATGTGCTCTTAAGCCTGTAACACAGTCGACTAGATCAGTGAATAGCTTTCTCTACACCTTTGCGTAATCTGTAAGAATATGCGTTTACAAGCCCACTAAAGATGCATCCTGCTACAGAAACCCAAATGTGTTAAACCGCTTTCACGTAACTGTGTAAGGAAAATGCTGTTCACATTTACATGATTCTGAATGCTGCTTTCGGCAAAAGCCCTGAAATACGCCATTTTGTAAACAACACGGGTGCAGAAGGGGTTAAGGCATGCTTTTTGAGGTGTTAAATAATGGCACAAATACCAGTAAACTGACTACTGTGAACTTTAGTAAATCATCTTGCATAATTCCTCTAAATGCTCTCCTCCCATTAATTTTGTGTCTGAAGGGGAAACTGCTATAAATGCATATGCAGTAAGGTAGGCTGCAAAAATAACTGTCCACAGCTTTTCATAGCTAATGTGTCTTTAGTGCATATTAATACACTGCTGGTCTTTAGTAAATTCTGACTGTAGTTTTTGTGAACGCTGAAAGAGGGTCTGCGCTGGCTGTTAGTAAAGATAGCCCTCGCTATTTTAATAGCATTAAAACGCTGGTTTATTACAAACGCACTATAAGATTAAAAATAAATGAAGTTAGCTGCATCACGTCAAAATGGGTAAAATGTTTGGCACTGCTGTATGGACTCACGTCACGATTCTTCCGATTTCAAATCCAGGTGTTTCAGAAGGCCAGAAAATAATAGATAATATTTTAAACTTCTGAGTTAGTTTTGAGTTCTGAAGCTTGCAGTATGTTTTTATTGTAACCTCTGATATGTGTAAATATCAAGAACATTTTGATTCTCCATTTCATGACCCCTTTAAGTCCAAAAGAAACCAAAGAATACTCAGTTCAAATTAAAGCAATAAGCCCCAAGAAGCCGTGGTTTACAGTGAATTTATAACAGCTAAGGGGCGTTGTTAGGCACGACATGAAGCGGAGTTAGCTGTTATAAATTCACTGTAAACCACGGCTTCACGGCCATTATTGCTTTTATAAAACAGTTATTCCATATATGTAGTAAGGTTTCACAAAATAAAACCGAGCAAATAAAGTGTAATGATATTAATAAAAACACCATTCTTCCACCAAACAATGTAGCTCCTCAGAAACGGTTGTGGTTCCAACAAAGTGGTTGCCGACCAACACACAGAAGTAAACAAAGGTGTATGTTTGTAGAGTAATTTACAACAGCTTCGAACGCGGCTCAGCCAATCAGAATCAAGGACCGGAACTCTCCGTTTTATACAAATAATTTTATCATTTGTATTCATGTGATTCTGGGTGCCACATTTTTGTAATTCATTTTGAAAACCAAGGCAGTTTCATTTAATTTATCTGGGATTTATTTCTGGGAAATATTTCTTAGAAACATTTATTTCTATGAAATTAAATTTTTTGAAGATTACACCGAAGCTTATATTTGTAGTTTCAAATGTCAGTTTTCTTTTAGTTTGTAGTTTGAGCCACTTTTTTTGTCTCTTTGGCTGCTGCAGGATTTTGCACACGCTTGTCAGCTGTTCACGGCATGCCTCGAGCTGGTGACAGAGTTTTCTCCTAAGCTGCGTCAAGTCATGCTCAACGAGCTGCTGTTGATGGAGGTCAGAGGTCACGAGGCAGGCGCTGCCGAAGGCAACATGGAGAGACCTCCACCCGACCTGGTCAGCAGGGTCCGCGGATATCTGGAGATGAGGATACATGGTATTATTATGTCAGCTGTTGCAGACAAATGCTCTCTTAACGTGATCTTTAGCTTAACATGAACCAGAGCAAAGTCTTTCACACTCATTTCTGCGAATGCAATTAAATTGTAAAGAGAAATAAATGAATCTGACCTTAGATCAGATATCTACACATAGTTGTTCATCTAGGCTTTTAAGGCAAGTGAGCATCAGATTTTGGCCTGAAAGGTAATGGCAATTTACTCAGGATGTGATCAACCCAAATTGTGCAGGAAGAGTGAAAGTGTTGACTTTATCCTTTCATAAATTAAGCTCTTTGGGTTTATGTGCTTATTCTAATGAAACCAGATGAAGTGCAATTCACATTTTCGGGTAGGATGCTATAATTCCTTGCAATGTTCTCCACGGCACAGATCTCCCGCTGCGTCAGATTGTCGGGGAGGAGTGTGTGGTGTTCATGCTCAACTGGAGGGAGAACGAGTATCTGACGCTGCAGGTGCCACAGTCACTGGTCAACAGCAACCCGTATATAAAGGTACTCTTCCCACAAACGCTCCTGTGCTTCATTGTCATGAATAAAGTCACAGTCTGAAAATCTTTTCATATTTACACATTTTCTAGTAGGCGCAGACATGTTCTTGTGAGATTTTGTAAGAATTGTTACCTCAGATCATGTCGTCTTGTGTTTTTTTTTGATGCAGCTAGGGCAGCTGATAGCATCTACCTGTAAGGAGCTGCCAGGACCCAAAGAGAGCAGACGCATGGCGAAGGAGCTCTGGGAGGTGGTGGTGCAGATCTGCAGTGTTTCCAGCCAGCACAAGCGCAGCAGTGACGGTCGAGTGAGCCTTCTCAAACTGAGAGAGTCCTCGCTGGGCATCCTGCCCCGGTGAGACACGGGGACCGCTCCAGAGAGAATAACTCTAAAACCTGCCTTAGATGACTTCCAGAGGACAAAAAAACATACAGAGCCTGTTTCAGCGTCTGCAGTATAATATATAAAAACGTGATCACAGCGTGTGTTAAATAACTGTCCATGTCATGTTAATGCATTGTTATATTTTCCTTTGTTGTGGTTTTAGGAGCAAATTCATGACTTTTATGAAAAAACTATGGGTAAGTGTAACATTGCCAAGTACACAGCATTACATAAAAGTATCTTAAAAATAGAGAACTTCCAGTATTAATCTCTAATATAATTTTGGGGGTTTTAGGAGCCACTGGTTTTGACAACACTCATCTCTTTGTTTGTGCGGCTGCACAATATTGTACGGGTATGTGCTATCAATGGAAATTATTTGTTTTTGTTTGTTTTTTTTATTGTAATTGTTTTGATTGCCGTTTTATTATTTTTATGTCATATACTGTAGGATGACTTAAAATTAATTAGTGAAGTATGTACAGTAATACAAATAACAACAGAATAGGTACTATAATGGGAAAATCTTATTTCTGTGGATTGATTGATGTGTTTTTATTTCTATTTCTCAGGATGATATAGTGAATGAAGTGACAGCTGAGCATATCTCCATATGGCCTTCATCTCTGGCCAAGTATGTCACAACTAATGAAATGCCATTAGAAATGCTCCTATGTTTAAAGGGGTGGTTCACTGGGTTTGTTCTAGGTTTGATTGTGTTAAAGGGTTGCAGTCGTTAATATCGCTTATCAGTTTGAGCCCTATTGAGAAGCAGAGGATAATATTGAAGAGGATCGTGCAGAACCTGGCTGCACATGGCTTTTAATGGTAGGCCTATGTTTTTTGTTTGTTGTTGTGTCATACTTTTAGATATGCTGTTATTTGTAAATGCTACTGCTTAAGTTAGCTTTTAATATACAGTTTTATCCTGATTAAAGCTTTAATACAGTACTGCAACTGCACACACGTCTGTTTAACGCTTCACATAACTATGTGAAAATAAGTGTATAATTGTAACAGTTCATTGTTGGAGCTGAGCTGAGAGAGCGATGCAGAGCAGGGGACGCGAGGAACAGTATTAAGAACCGCTGCTTTAGAACGTTGATTTTGAATCTTGTGAATCCATTAGAATCGTTAGAAGACAGAATCGCGATTCATATATGAATAGATTTTTACGTGCACCTCTAGTTTTCTCTTCTTCTCCAAAGCAGCGCTGCATGGCCTCGCCCCCTTTGCTGCCTTTTCCCGAGGGCGGGGTTTATCTGGGTTTGTGATGTCACGAACCCGGAAAGTAACTTGTTGTAGTCCCTACCAGCCGTTTTTGTAGGCATTAAACCGCCAGAATTTTAAAAGACGATATCTCCGTTTGCATTGAACTTTCAGCTTTGTAACTTTGTAACTGCAGATATTGTTTATGCTCAAACAGCAACATTAGACACTATCTAACGTTAAAAACAGTGAAATCGCAATGAACCACCCCTTTAAATCTGTAGATGTAATGATAGTTTGTGATTTATAAGGTTTGTTTTGATGGTCTTGGTGTCAAATGTTCTGATGATGATGATGGTGGTGGTGATGATGGTGGTGATGGAGATGGTGATGGTGGTGGTGATGGAGATGATGATAATGATGGTGATGGAGATGGTGATGGTGGTGGTGATTGTGATGATCATGGAAATGGTGATGATGATGATGGTGGTGGTGATGATGTTGGTGGTGATTGTGATGATGGAGATGGTGGTGGTGGTGATGGAGATGGTGGTGGTGGTGGTGATGGAGATGATGATGATGGTGGTGGTGGTGATGGAGATGATGGCGGTGATGATGATGGTGGTGGTGGTGGTGGTGATAGTGGTGATGGAGATGGTGATGATGTTGGTGGTGGCGATGGAGATGATGATGGTGGTGATGATGATGATGATGATGGTGGTGGTGATGATGATAGTGGTGGTGATGGAGATGATGGTGGTGGTGATGGAGATGATGGTGGTGGTGGTGATGATGATGATTGTGGTGGTGGTGATAGTGGTGGTGATGATGATTGTGATGATCATGGAAATGGTGATGATGATGATGGTGGTGGTGATGATGTTGGTGGTGATTGTGATGATGATGGTGGTGGTGATGGAGATGATGATGGTGGTGGTGGTGATGGAGATGATTGTGATGGTGGTGATGATGATGATTGTGGTGATGATGATGGTGGTGTTGATGCAGTTTACAGTCGGTGGATGTTGAAGCCGTGGTCGTCACGTTGAAGGAATTGGTGAACTATGCTCTCAGCCTCAACCCCAACAATCAGTCGTGGCTCTGCACGCAGGCCGACATTTACTTTGGTAAGTTAAAGCTGTGTATGAATGAAACCCTGCACTCATACTGTAAAGATCCAATACTGAGGGGTCATATGATTCATATAACACTTTAAACAAAACACATTGTTGCACAGCAGCTTTACATAGTTTTGTGTTAACGCTAAATTGTTTATATTTAACAGTTTATTGTATATCGCTTTGTGTATGTGGTTATTTTTGTTAGAGTTTCAAGCTGGGCTAATTAATTTATGCTGTGATATGGAGGATTATGAATCTGTAAGGTTTGGCCTAATTACCATTAGGTCATGTGTATCACTGCCATGGTTAAGTAATGCCTATAAATATCAGGTTTTAAGATTTTAGTCATATCACCCAACCGCAAGCAGTTCAACTTAAAAGTACATTTAAAGTCATGCTAAAATACTTAAATTTACTCAAAGTCTGATGTGACTAAAACTTACAGAAGTATAAAATATTTGCTATGTTTTGTTTTCATCAAAATATTTAACTATTTACAGAGACTGATGCTGAATGTTCATAATTCTTTGAAAATAATGTTTGAATTCCCGAATAAATGTTTTGACATTTAAACAATTAAAAACTCTTGACCAAGTCTGTCAGATGCACAGTATTTCAGAGATGAGTTCAGAGAGATGCATTGATGAGTAATCTTTTAAAACAAAGCATAAAGCATTTTTAAAAAAGCAAAATATAAAAAAAAAAGTTCATGCCGAAAGTTCATTTTTAAAAAATAGGTCCAAATGCTAAAAGAATTATTAATATATAGGCCTGTCACGATAACAACTTTTTGTTGTGCGATATATATATTGCCCCAGAAATAATTGCGATAAGCGATATTATTGTCATTTTAAGACCGTTTTATGCCACTGAATATATAATCATAATGTAACCGCATAATAATGCAAGAAGCCCTTCACACTTTCAAATGACACAAACACTTAATTTAAGAATATTTAGATCATGGAAATCAAGTATTATAAATAAGTAAATATTAGATACCTTAAAAAACATTTTCTAAAAAAAAGTGCAAAGTAACAAGTAGAAAAAGAAAAATGTACAAAGAACTTGTATGGAGATTTGTCCATCAACAGATTTTTCCCTGACCTTCTTTTCTCTGTAAATGAAGGGTGCACACTATTGCTGAAAAACACAATCACTGCTTAGCAGTCAGATGTCCGTATGCACAAAGGCACAGATCCCTAAACTAGGCCATATCTGCAGATGAAACTTTTCTTGTAGAAGCATTTTTTTCTATTTGAACTAGCACCTTATGACTACACCATGCTATGTACGAGAAGCTGCAAAAGACACAAGTGAAATGTCCAAAACATTTTTTTTAAATGTTAGTTTTTTTTTATGTAAATATAATGGACGATATATTGCGTTATTGAGGTAATGTACATATATTGTGCGACAAGTCGATATATTGATTATTGCAACAGACCTATTAATATAGTACTTTTAGATTTTTGCCAGTTTAGAAATACAAAGCATTTAAAAAAACAATAAAACATTTCCCCCTCACAATTTGATGTTTACAGATTTGTATTGAAAAATTAGTCATTCAAAATTACTTTGAAAAACACTTCAGTTAAAGTTTTTACTGATGAAATTCTTTTATTTTTTCTTCTTTTGTTGTTTCAGTGAGCAGCCAGTATTCTGCAGCGATGCATTATTACCTGCAGGCAGGGACCGTGTGCTCCGATTACTTCACTAAACCTGTTCCTCCTGACGTCTACACCGACCAGGTGCTGGAAATCTGCAGAACACTGTTGTGAACGAATAAAGAAAACCCTTTCACTTCTACTTTTGGATTGGTAGTAAAATGCCCTGTAGAGATGTGACTGACACGCTGAATGTTTCTGCAGGTTCTGAAGAGAATGATCAAGTGTTGCTCGCTGTTGAACTGTCACACTCAGGTAACAAACCGCATCGGTGTACTGTCACCAGTCTCATCTCAGAGGATTGCATTGGCTGATACATGATGTCCTTGTGTGCACTCTGCAGGTGGCTGTTCTCTGCCAGTTTCTGAGGGAAGTTGACTACATGACTGCATTCAAAGCTCTACAAGAGCAAAACAGGTGAACTCGCAATGCATCAATACCCGCTTTACAAAATAGTTCAGAAACTTTCTTGTCAGAAAGGAACTTCATTGCATTTTTCTCCATTCCATCAGTCATGACTCTATGGATTCGTTTTATGGCTACATCTGGGACGTTACGATTCTGGAATATCTGACATGTATCCTTTTTAAAGAAGACCCAATCTCAGACCAACACGAGTCCGCTGTTATCAATTAATTTGCAAATGTATTAATAAAAAGATTTGAATAACCCTGTTTTCAGCACATCTGATATTTGCCATCCATTGTTTTACCGTAACTTTTGCCTTTAGACATTCATCATAAACGAGGAGAGGGTGACAAAAGACAAGTTGCGGTAAGCAGATTTATTTATCTGTTGATTCAAGAATCAATTAGGCCATAGTTTCTAAAACATTTATTGTAGATGGTGTAGAAATGCAATCTAACAATATCTACCAATATTTAATTTCAGTGCAGATTCAAAGCAAGATTTGTACAAAAATTGCTTGATTTTCAGATGGCACAATTGGCCATCACAAAGGAATCTAAAGTAGCTCATTACATGAATATGAAGGTAATGATGGTTAATCTCTTTGAACACAGATCAAGGCCATCGGACAGACAGAGTTAAACTCCAGTAACCCAGAGGAAGTCCTGCAGCTTGCAGCGCAAAAAAGGAAGAAGAAATTCCTACAGGCCTTGGCTAAACTCTACTTTTAAATTAATTACAAAAGATTGTTTGTTTCGTTTTTTTAAATGGGAAAAAAAAAAATCAAAAACATTTTTCAAATAAATATGCCTAGGCTAATTCATGTTGTCTCCTATTTTTATAATGTACAATTGTACACAGAGGTGTGTGTGTGTGTGCCTATATATATATATATCTGTATATAACACACACACACACACACACACCAATTTTCACAATTATGTGTCAATAAGGAACAATCAAATGCACAATTGAATGCCTTTGGTAAAGTTGAAATTAGTATATATATATATATATATATATATATATATATATATATATTTAAACATCTTACAATCTATATACAAATGAACAGTATACTTAAATTATGATGTATAATAAAGAACATTGTGCCGACAGGAAATTTGATATTTTCATTAATCACATTTTAAGTCATCATTTGAACCCGAAAAATAAAATTAAATAAAAAAATAAAAAAAACCACACTAGCAATCCTGAGGCCTGCTCTTATTTTTTCTACAAATATTTTTGTACTATAAAGTATAAGAGAACCATAACCCAACACTAGGGAACATAAGTTGTCTGTTCAGAACACAAAACAGCGCAGTTTCTTAAAGCCTATTTTGTTAACTTAAATACCAGTCAAGCCCTGTGCATAGTACATATTACAGTTTTACAACTTATGACCTGAACTTTGAGATGAAGTCTAGAACTAGTGACGGTAAAAATCACAGTACACTGATCCTGCTGTGTGAACACTAGTGTTAGCTGGGTTTCTCAGCGCTGCTGGGAGGTGTTGGTGGGAAGAAGTGCTCCAGGCTTTCTGACTGTTTCTCCTGAGCCTCTTTCTGTAAATGAGAACGACAAAGACTTGAGAACGGTTAAATGCACCTGGCTGAAACAATGCCACTGCAGAACCAAACGAGCACAACATGCTGATGATTCTGTTCCTCTCATACCACCTCTGAACTTCAACATCCATCGACTGCATTGATGTCTATGATTAATATGTGACCCTGGAGCACAAAAGCAGTCGCTGGGGTATATTTGTAGCAATAGCCAAAAAAACATTGTATGGGTCAAAATTATCGATTTTTCTTTTATGCCAAAAATCATTAGGACATTAAGTAAAGATCATGTTCCATGAAGATATTTTGTACATTTCCTACCGTAAATATATCAAAACTTAATTTTTGATTAATAATATGCATTGCTAAGGACTTCATTTGGACAAATTCAAAGGCGATTTTCTCAGTATTTCGATTTTTTTTGCACCCTCAGATTCCAGATTTTCAAATAGTTGTATTCTCGGCCAAATATTGTCCTATCCTAACCTGAAAGCTGAATAAATAAGCTTTCCATTGATGTATAAATCTCAATTTCACAAAATCGACCCTTATGACTGGTTTTGTGGTCCAGGGTCACATATTAGTTAAGCACTAGACCCACCAGCATGCAGAGGTAGTCCCCGTGTGTCTGAATGTTGTGTCTGTCCTCAGACGGCACTTGGCCAAATTCCTTCAGCTGTGCGCTCTTATAACACATCAAGGTCTCCACGAAAGGAGCCATCCAGTTCACACACGTCTCAATGGCCTCCCACTTCAGTCCTGTGTGGAGGACAAACACTTCATCTGATCTACGCTGAGACACATCAACATGTTCAAAACTGCTACTCTTCACACTCTTTTTTAAGTTTAATTCATAGTGAACACTATGCAGTGTTATTTTACACTTATTACATTTCTGTACATTGAATACTACTGTTTATTTGATCTATGCTTGTAATTTGTGTATTTGTTCAAATGAACAGTATACTTAAATTATGATGTATAATAAAGAACATTGTGCCGACAGGAAATTTGATATTTTCATTAATCACATTTTAAGTCATCATTTGAACCCGAAAAATAAAATTAAATAAAAAAATAAAAAAAACCACACTAGCAATCCTGAGGCCTGCTCTTATTTTTTCTACAAATATTTTTGTACTATAAAGTATAAGAGAACCATAACCCAACACTAGGGAACATAAGTTGTCTGTTCAGAACACAAAACAGCACAGTTTCTTAAAGCCTATTTTGTTAACTTAAATAGCAGTCAAGCCCTGTGCATAGTACATATTACAGTTTTACAACTTATGACCTGAACTTTGAGATGAAGTCTAGAACTAGTGACGGTAAAAATCACAGTACACTGATCCTGCTGTGTGAACACTAGTGTTAGCTGGGTTTCTCAGCGCTGCTGGGAGGTGTTGGTGGGAAGAAGTGCTCCAGGCTTTCTGACTGTTTCTCCTGAGCCTCTTTCTGTAAATGAGAACGACAAAGACTTGAGAACGGTTAAATGCACCTGGCTGAAACAATGCCACTGCAGAACCAAACGAGCACAACATGCTGATGATTCTGTTCCTCTCATACCACCTCTGAACTTCAACATCCATTGACTGCATTGATGTCTATGATTAATATGTGACCCTGGAGCACAAAAGCAGTCGCTGGGGTATATTTGTAGCAATAGCCAAAAAAACATTGTATGGGTCAAAATTATCGATTTTTCTTTTATGCCAAAAATCATTAGGACATTAAGTAAAGATCATGTTCCATGAAGATATTTTGTACATTTCCTACCGTAAATATATCAAAACTTAATTTTTGATTAATAATATGCATTGCTAAGGACTTCATTTGGACAAATTCAAAGGCGATTTTCTCAGTATTTCGATTTTTTTTGCACCCTCAGATTCCAGATTTTCAAATAGTTGTATTCTCGGCCAAATATTGTCCTATCCTAACCTGAAAGCTGAATAAATAAGCTTTCCATTGATGTATAAATCTCAATTTCACAAAATCGACCCTTATGACTGGTTTTGTGGTCCAGGGTCACATATTAGTTAAGCACTAGACCCACCAGCATGCAGAGGTAGTCCCCGTGTGTCTGAATGTTGTGTCTGTCCTCAGACGGCACTTGGCCAAATTCCTTCAGCTGTGCGCTCTTATAACACATCAAGGTCTCCACGAAAGGAGCCATCCAGTTCACACACGTCTCAATGGCCTCCCACTTCAGTCCTGTGTGGAGGACAAACACTTCATCTGATCTACGCTGAGACACATCAACATGTTCAAAACTGCTACTCTTCACACTCTTTTTTAAGTTTAATTCATAGTGAACACTATGCAGTGTTATTTTACACTTATTACATTTCTGTACATTGAATACTACTGTTTATTTGATCTATGCTTGTAATTTGTGTATTTGTTCTTTTTTTCTTTCCCTTTTTTTTTTTACTGTCTGTTCACATCATGTTTGTACTTTCTTAGGCTATGGTTTTTGCTGTGTTATAC